GTACGCAGCTATCGACCAAGATCATAATATATGTATGTTATTATAATGGTACCATCTGACATTGACACTTGACCAACCTCAAATAAAAACTGATTAATAGCGTTTTCGACAGATGAAACTGGTGCGCACTTTTTAACACTCGGTGCAAAATTTGTTTTCGGCTCGTAAGAACAGTGCGAGCCGGGTCAGTTTTTGAATTTTCGGTTGGAATCAGTTGAACTCAAAAAAATAAACCGGTGCGCACTTTTGTGAACCGAGTGTAGAGAGAGGTTTTCAGTTTCAGTTCAGTCCTAACAAATATGGCGATGACAAATGTAGAGTTGTTTCTAAATATGTAATTTTTTTAGAATTTTTAAAGAAATATTAGAAACTTCTTCGTCAGATTCAGACGAAGAAGATTTAATTAAGGCTAAGTGTAATAAAACTAAACTGCCACAATTTTAAAGATTACATTGAATCGTTGGTGTCGCACCTGGATGACTCCCAGGTAGGTACCATTAATATTCTTGTAAGTACTGTATATGCATAGTATACTTTGGCATCTTAAAAACTCAAACATAAGTAAGTTTATGTTAATCTGTTAATAAAATATTAAACAATATTATAAATGTTTAAAATGGAAGCTTGGCTTGGATATTGTTTGGAATTTGGTAGGTACTACTTCTATTTATCACTCAGATGATAGCTGTCAAATAGAATAAAATGCACTGGGTGGTCAACTGCGTGTTCGGTTGAAATAAGTTTATACAATTGAACCAGTGCTGAGCAACGAAAACTCGCACTTCACGAGTGTAAACTGAGTGTGACTAGTCGAAAACGCTATAAGAAACTTTAAAATAAATTGACGTAAAAGTCAGAACTAAAGGTAAGACTATGTGGTGCTATGATGTCGCCACACACTTATCTTTTTTAAAATAGTTAACTTGTAAAATGACTTTTCTTAAGAATTCAATAAAATTGAAATATAAGGCTAATGAAAGTGTCGTTTACGTAACTAAAAAAAAATTAAATTTTTTGACCGTCTGTGAAACGAGATATTAACAAACAAAATGTGCATAATTAACGCTCTTGAAACCTGTCATGAAACAAGTAATGCATTTATTTCAAGATATCTCGAAAACGGTTCTTAACATATTTTATAAAAACTAATGTAATGTAAAACAAGTTATAAAATTTTCTAAAGAAATGCTTAATTTTTTGACCGTCTTAATAAAAATAATACAGATTTTTTAAAATATGTTTAAAGCAATCGACGCGTAGTTGCATAAAATGATTACAACTTGGAAACATTGTATACGCGCAATCAACGCTTTGTACCAAAATAACACTCGATCAGCTAAGAGATTGTTATAACCTCGCGACGTGTTCTTGAAAATTTAATTCGTCCACTGTATTTGAGAACTGGAATCAGCGGTTTCGTCTGAATGAAAACGAACCCTTAAAATTAATATGAGGAAGTCACAGGGTCCGTGAAGTTAGCACCACCAAATCCGAATGTTTATAAAAATAAATTGTCCAATTTGTCCACGATTGTCCAACAAAAATTTTCGTTTGTCCGTCCTTCAAAAAAAAGTTATAGCAAATTTAAAAAAATGACTCAAATTTCACAGCAACTCCATAAAAACTTTTTGATAACTTTAAAGTGGTATTCAATTGTCCACGATTTGTCCAAGTTTGTCCAACCAAAATTTTCGTTTGTCCACCCCCCAAAACTGAGATATTTAAAAAAATAAAAAATAATGCCAGTGGTTTTTGGGGACATTAATACATTTCATACGAATTAGACACGACAATCGTTTGTCCACATATTATTTTCGTTTGTCAAGGCCCAATTTTTGTTTGTCCAGGCCCAATTTTTATTTGTCCAGCCTTAAAAAAAAAATTATAGCATATTTAAAAATTTTAGCCAAATTTCGCAGCACCGCCATAAAAACTTTTTGATAATTTCAGAGTGGCATTCGATTGTCCACGATTTGTCCACGTTTGTCCAACCAAAATTTTCGTTTGTCCACCTCCCAAAACCGAGATGTTTAAAAAATAAAAGAAATAATGCAGGTATAGTCTTTGGGGACAACCTTAATTCATTTCATACGAATAAGACACGACAATCGTTTATCCACACATTATTTTCGTTTGTCCAAGCCCAATGTTTGTTTGTCCACCCTTCAAAAAAAATTATAGCAAATTTAAAAATTTGAGCCAATTTTTACAGCACCGCAATAAATTTTTTTTATAATTTCAAAGAAGTATTTGATTGTCCACGATTTGTCCAGGTTTGTCCAACCAAAATTTTCGTTTGTACACCCCCCAAAACCGAGATATTTAAAAAATAAAAAAAAATAATGCAGGTGGTCTTTGGGGACAACCTTAATACATTTCATACGAATTAGACACGACAATCGTTTGTCCACATATTATTTTCGTTTGATTTCCATTTGTCCACCCTTCAAAAAAAAGTTATAGCAAATTTAAAAAATTTAGTCAAATTTCACAGCACCTCCATAAAAACTTTTTGATAACTTTAAAGTGGTATTCAATTGCCCACGTTTGTCCAACCAAAATTTTCGTTTAACCACCCCCCAAAACCGAGATATATAAAAAATTATAAAATAATGCCGGTGGTCTTTGGGGACAATCTTAATATATTTCATGAGAAATAAATAAGACAATCGTTTGTCCAACACACTATTTTCGTTTGTCCAAATGCATTATTTTTTCAATTCTTTAAATATCTTGGTTTTGGGGAGGTGAACAAACGAAAATTTTGGTTGGACAAACGTAGACAAGTCTTGGACAATTGAAAACCACTTTAAAATTACCAAAAAACTTTTTATGGCTCAATTTTTTAAATTTGCTATAACTTTTTTTTTTTGAAGGTTGGACAATTGGAAATTGGACCTGGACAAACGAAAATATTGTGAGGACAAACGATTGCAATAGTTAGTTTAAATAAATTGCCATTTAAAGTACTTATATTAATAATTGTTTATGCTTTGAGTTTTTTATTTGTTAATAACTTATTTTTGTTGAATGAAAAAACGAAAATAAGGACTGGACAAACGTGGACTAATCGTAGACAATCCAATGCCACTTTGAAATTATCAAAAAGCTGGCGGTGCTAACTTCAAAGACCTGGAAGTCACCAAGTTCTATAGCATTCCATTTATTTATTTACAAGGTTGCCGGATGGATTTTATTGAAATTATAACATATCCATATATATAAACTTACATGTGTTTTGTACAGTCTCTTACAAAAATAAAATTGATTAGCATTGAGAACTATTGGTATTCACCATTATGCGATATTTTTATGTACGACTGTCGCGAGTAAACTACCTTAAATTCAAAATTCAATTTTTTTTTTAACTCCAAATAAGGAAGCAGATGCTGACTATGTTTACTATAGGCAATACCTAACCTTGGAAGACAAAAGAAGGAATGATTTCTCACTTTATCCTATGTACAAAACTTGATTAATAACAAATGACTAATGAGATGAGCTACAACTTTGGGTGCAAATGGCGGTAGGTGCAAATGGGCAGGGCGGATCTGGGCCTATATCAATATTTTATATCGATAGAAGACCCTGTTGAAACCTAATCATTTCAAATTTTTATTTGTCATTTCGAGGGGTAATTTATTAAACAATTCATCAAGTCACGTGTAATTTGAGTTGCCTATTAGTACATTCAAATAGGTATATTTACGCGGAATTTGAGATCCAGTCACGATTGTAGATTCGTACCATAAATTTTTGCTGCAAAACGTTCTTATCTACAAAATTAGAATAAAAAACCTGTAGTAGAAAAAAGCCTGGATCATCCCTTGGATACTGGAATTAAGAAAAGCTCTCATGTCACCCCTAGATGTAGTTTGGGTAAATGATTTGGTCTCAATCGTTTTTTCTTAACCGTTTTAATCATTGTTTTTTAACTATTACTTAATAGAACAATTTTGAAAGATATACAGTCTATTTTTCTCTGTCTACTGGTTAGGCTATCAATTGTTTCTACTTGCGGTAACGTACAGACCCTGTATACTTTCTTTCTGCTAAGAATGGTGGCTCTAATACTAAAAAATCCTCAAGTATATTGCTTTTTATATCTTATATTTCCTTCCTCTGTTGCTATTTGTTTTTTACCTAATTCTGATATCGAACAAATTAATAAAATAATGATTTTCTATATTGTCATATTGTCTCGATTATAAGTTAAACTGTGCTCATAAGGTTGGTTATCATTCACAACTAATAAAAAAAAGAGTATAAATGGAACGCTTGCAAATATTATCTCATAAATAATAACTTCCGGTATTTAATCTGTAGCGTGCACGGTTTTAAAGTACCTGAGGTGTCACTCGACGCTCATCTTAGAGAACATAAGCCGAAATGCGTCACTCTTCAAAAAACAGAACACACATCCAAAAAAAAAGAAGGAAAGTATATTATGAGATCACGCGGATATTGATAATTCTAAGTGTCTGGTCCAGAAATCTGGAGTGAATCATTAGAGATGCCGCTTTGAACTGTGATTTACACTGATGCCTCTTATCGAGGCCGATTCTAATGCAGCCTCTAAATAACAACCGCCTGCTTCGATCTCGGAAGACTTACGATCCGACCACAGGGCGGACTCGTAAAACGGGCTATCAGAGTGCGGAGTAACTTGAGCATGAACGTGTGGATTTTTTACAAATGATATTACACGGTGGTCTATTGCGTTAATTAAGGAAATGTATAAATACTATTGTGAGTTCTTTTAGTTTAAATTTCAAGTGACATTAAATAAAAAGGAAAAATTTTCCGACGCCAAAACCCAGGGCCGTCGCTAGGCGCATGCGAGCTCAAAAAATTTTAATTTACTTCTTGTACTCTATAATAGGATTGCAATTATTAAAATTGGCATATACTGAAACAATTTAGAATATACTTGAGGTTTTACTCAAAAGTATAAAACGTGATAAAAGCATTAACGTATAAATAGATTTTTTTACTTTCAGATGCTGGTATGGATTTCCAATTTGGCGAAGGACGTGAATGTGTTAATTGTGGAGCCATTTCTACACCTCTTTGGAGGAGGGACGGCACGGGACACTATCTTTGTAACGCTTGCGGATTATACCATAAAATGAATGGAATGAATAGACCATTAATAAAACCTTCAAAACGATTAGTAAGTATCTGCAAAGCTATAAATCTTGAAAACATTTTTTGTTATTAAATTCTTATTCAATGTATCGCGAAAAGATATTGTAAGAGGGATATTATAGATTTATATGTGGGAAGGTGAGACTTAAGTAATACCACTAGTAGCTATGGTGTGCAAGCTTCTTTAGCCGAAGGAAGGGTAAAGTTTGTTGATGGGGTTTTGATAGATTGGATAGTGGATGACCAGAAAAAATTTGTGTAAGATATAGTTTTAAAATCTGGCCATTCTATATACGTATTGCAGATGGAATCGTATCTGTGAGTCCTAGAAGTTAGAAGCTAGTACTGACCTGAATTGTGAGTTGAGGCATTGCCAAATGACTCTGATCAGTGAGATATTTAATGGGGTTGAAGTAGTTATTTCGAACGGATAACAATAATAGAAATTGTTGTGCCTCCATACAAATATCTAAACGGCATTCAAAGTAATAATTTGATCCTATAGTGAATCAGTAAGTTAGATAGGGAAAATTATTTGGAAGTACAGAATAGTGACTGGTTCTTTTTGAGGACACCTACACTAAATTGTATTTTGGTGGTGTTTAAATGGTTTCAAGATCTTTACCTTTGCCTGTCAATAGCTTGTAGATAATCAATTGCAGACAATCTACTCATATCACTGGAAAACTTGAGCCGTACGATGAATGTAAGTAATATGAAAAACCGCAAAAACACGTAATTTTATTTTCAAGGGGGGACGCCTAGGAGGTAAAATCTTAAAAGGAAAAGGAGTCAAGTGGCACATCATTTTAAAGGGCGTTTAATTCTCTTTCCAGTGGTACTCTAATTTATTATCTTCTGACTAGCAGGTTCCAAAAAATGTTAATTTATGCTTATTTACGTGATTGGTAGTGCTAACTTTCCATCAAAATTAGCATTAACTGGGGATTGTGTTAAAAAAGGGAGAGCGACAAGTTTTTTTTTCAGCGGCTTTGTGATAAAATCCGACAAATTTTCCATATAAAAAATGCTCACTTTCATGATTGGTACTGGTAACTTTACCGTGAAGTAGCACTACCAGGGGTTATTTTGAAAAGGGGATGACCGACAAAAGTTTTTTACGACGAAAAAGCGACAAATTCTGCAATATTCAAGAATACAAAATTCCAAAGTGGTAGTGCTAACTTCATGGACATTAAGTAGGTCAAAAATACAGACTTTAGCTGAAAAAGTAGATTTTTATTTTAAGTGCCAGTGTTGAGATATTTATTTGGAAGTTAAAAAAAAAAAATCTGATTTTGTGAGAGTAAATAAAAACTCTTTTACGTACTATTTCGAACATGTACAGGTTAAGCTTACTTTTTTCGAAAAAATACTTATCTATACTCGAAATTTTTTTAAGGATTATAGTCGCCCGGCAACAATGTATTTCTAGAATTACCCATAATCCTCCTATGCAGCGGCGTAACAATGATTCGCGATAAAACGCTTTAAAATGAAAACCCACTATTAAAAAAATGTATTTGTCTGAATCTTAATCATTCTACTTAAATGTTTGAAACAATGTTATATATCGTCGGGTTACTGCCAAAACAAGATAATTTTTCAGTTAAGTGCATGTCTAACATTAAAACTGTCTATCTAAACTATGTACTGACAGAATCAGATAATTGTATTAAACGGGGTATACGTTGATACGCATGTGCACATAAAAGACTAAGTGCATTACAATAATTATATTGGCAGCTAAAATAAAACAAGTGCATTTATGTTAGGTATAAAAATTATTTTAATTTTACTTTGTGTATAAGAAAGTACATGTTTTTGGTAAAGGTTGTCCTCTAAATGCAAATGAAATTAAAATCACAAAAGCATACAAAAGATGTAGGCCCATTTCGGTTAAGAAAAAACAAGACCTACTGAAATTGTATAAAAGTGATGTTATCCGGAAGAATACCATCAATATTACAAATCCTTGCCTAAAGAGGTAAAAGATTTAGTTCCAGAGCCAGCAGCTGAAGATTCTGATATTGAACTTCCTTTAAAAGAGCAGGATAAATGAAACAAAAACAGGTAAGGTACTTATACATCCAAAAGAAGAGAAGTGCACGAAAAAAGTTTTTTTTTGCTAAATACTTTGATAGTTTTAAGTTTTATGATAAATTTTTCTACTGTTTAATATCCAATTGTATTAAAATTCAGTTCCTAAGTAAAAACGGAGTTTTTTTATATATCTGATTTTCCTTAAATATTAATAGGTTTAATAATCCCGAAGGAACAATACGGTTTCAGAGCAGGGCACAGTTCTATTGCACAAATAATCAAAGTAGCACATCATGCTAAAAAAGCTATGAACAATAGCGAGCTTACAGTACTGGTGGCATTAGACACAGCCAAAGCGTTTGACACCGTATGGACCGGAGGGCTGTCAAATAAAATGTTTGTGAACGATTATCCTTTGCACATTATAAAAATCATACAGTCATACCTACATAATAGACGATTCCACATTAAAATAAACAATACAAAAACTAGAGCATATACACGGAAAAAAAATTGTAGAACAAATTTCTACAATTATAGATTTTTTTCTCTACAACAAATAGTACATATAGGGACAGGGACAATTTGTAGTAAAAATTCCCAAATATTTGTGGAGAATGTATTGTAGAGTTATTATCTACAATATTTAGTAAAAATATCCAAATGCATCATAAGAATTGTTCTACAAATTGTTATAATTTTTGCTATTCATTGTATGAATTTATATTAAAAATGTATTGCGTTTTATGAAAATAAATACGAAAATTTTACACAATAAATAGTAAAAATTCATACAAATTTTAGTAATTTTTAATAAAATTTGTAGTAGTATTCCATAATTATTATAATTATGACCTAGAAAAAAATGTTCCTTAATAAAATATTCAATTTATTGTTTTAATATAAAAGATACAAAGTCTTAATTACATTATGTAATAAATAACAGTAATAATAGCGTTCTCAGTTTCAGTTGGCTTTTCTGCACCTGAAAAATATGAAATAAAAATTAATACCAATTGAACTGTTCATACCCTTAAAACGGGGATATTTATCACCTTTACACTGATTTGGATATTAAATGACTAAGTCAGATAACTAACAAAAATGAGAAAGTAGGTATGTCACAATTAAGACAAAAAAACATCATTGAACTTGGCACAAAATTCGATCGTTGGGCACAACATTCGATCGTTGGCCACAACTATTTTTTTAAAATAATCTACTAAGGTTATTTAAATTAGTTATCTAAAGGTAAATTATTCAGAAACAATAATAAATGTACTTACCACCAATAGAATTTATTATTAAAATTTTCTCAAACGCATCGGTGCTAATGTAATAATGTGTTATAGGTACTCGTATATGTACCATGCTTTGTTATGTGAACATGGCGAACGGCTACTGCTGTCTGGTCATTTATGATCGACATCAGAAAACGTTGGCCAAGCAGAATTCTGTTTTGTTCACATGACTTAGAATTTCTACAATATTATAGAATATTTTTGAACAAAATTGAATTTTTTTCATAAGAAGGGATGTAAAGTATTACTATTTTTTGTAAAGAAAATTACTATTTTTTGTAGAGATAATTATTAATATTTGTACAAATTTTTACAGAAGTTAGTAGTAGTAATTACGATAATTATAATAAATTTCTACTTCTACAAACAATAGTAAAATATACTAAACATTGTGGACTTCTTTCCTATTGTTGTAGCATTTTATTCGACAATTCAATTGCTACAATAATTAATAGTTTTTAACTATAAATTGTAGTAAAATTTTCTACAAATTGTTAAGTATTTTTCTACAAGTCTACTACTACAACATTGTAGTAAAATTTTCTAGTCACATTTTTTTCCGTGTACACAGCGGTGGCCGGAGTACCCCAGGGGTTGGTTCTGTCGTCGCATTTGTATACTATTATGACCCATAATATACCAATAGGTGTTAACGGTGATAATGGCCGACGACACTATACAAAACTTGAGATACAGCTTAAATTGCGAACAGAAGGCTGGACATACACATTAACAGAACGCTGGTCCCTTATCTAGACAGAAAGTACCTATTAAAAGTAATATTAAAAAACCAACTTCATATTTCAACAGCGTAATTTACATCCTACAAGTATTAGAAATTAAAAATTAAAAAAAACCGAATTCAAAAACGTGCAGATGTCGTCACCACATCTTAACCAAATTTATATAGGATGACCCCTGAGGTACCCCCTCACTAACAAAAAAAGAATCATAGAAATCAGACAAGGTGGTAAATAATTATTACTAAACATACATAAAAAATGAAGAGTTTGATGATTTTTCTCATGGACCTAATTATTAGATTTTGACCAAATTTGTATGGGACCACCCCTGAGATACCCCCTTACTAACAAAAAAAGAATCATAGAAATTGGGCAAGGTGGAAAAAAAATTACCGCTAAACATACATTAAAAATGAAGATTTTGAGAATTTTCTAATAGACCCGATTATTAGATTTTGATTAAATTAATATGGAACCACCCCTGAAGAACTCCCTTTCTAACAAAAAAAGAATCATTAAAATCAGACACTGTGTTAAATAATTGCTGAACATACATAAAAAAAATTACGACGAATTGAGTACCTCCTCCTTTTTTGAAGACGGTTAAAAATGTAACTTATCTTGTTTTGGCAGTAACCCGACGATATAGAAAATTAAGAATTCTAGTCAAAAAATTATAAACAGTTTCTGTTGCTATATGGTGCTATATATATATTTTTTAAATTGAAACGAATTATAACAATGATTTAGGAATAAATCATTGTTGCCAGGGCCGACAAGAGGGGAGCAGCCGGGACTAATTCCCGGGGCTCGGGCCCTGCAGCTTTTTTAGTTTTTATTTTTGTAAAAGTTCGCCACAAGAGCACAAGAAGGAGGACGTTTTTTTTAGAAATGTGATATTGATTGTTGCTATTGTATTTTTTTTTCACCAGTTTTAAGCATATTTTTTAATCGTGACTATATATTTTTTTATTTTATCAAAAATTATCTGTCAAAACACTTTATTTTAACATAAAAATAAACTACTACAACTAACCATATACCTGTCTCACGCTACGACACTGATTCATTTAACTGAATTAATACTTAACTGGTTTATTAGGATTTCCAATAAACCTTCTTAGTATTGACGAGTTTATCGCTGATTCAAAGTATTTATCTAACTAGATATAATATTTGTACGAGGAGTAAATATTATGAAATAATCTCACTTTTTAAATTTCCGCGTTGACGAAGCATAAACAATAAAATGATCCCGGTAAGCTGACCTCTGAAAATCGTAATAGAATTACATTGAAGCCTGGTGCAATCTGCAAGATGTGTCACCATCATTTAAAAATTGTTCGAGTATAGTATAGGTATAACTTTTCTGTCCCAAATTTATCGGTTAGTTTTTTGGAAAAAAAAGCCCCTTAAATATATCAACTATATTTTAAAAAGTGGTTAAGCGACGTCATTAATTTCTGTTTTTGTCATTTTTCAATAATTAATTTGTTATAAGGAATCGTTGCTTTAGTTTGAGGTACCTATTAGTCTTTGATTTATTTAATTGGCATTTTATTTACTTTTCTTGGGCACCTGTTTGTATCTATTCCATTTATAGTTTTTCTTCTTGTCTTTTGATTAGCTTTATTTTAGTATTTAAAATTTTTTCTTACATTTATTTTTATATTGTAGAATTGAAAGTATTTTCTCTGTAATTGGGTGTAAATCCGTTGAGAATAAATAACTATTATTATTATTTTTGACAATGTTGCTGCTGCCCCTGTATCAAGTTGAAAATTGGATAATTTCGATTTATCTTACCACAAAGTTTAAAAATGTTAAATTTTTCCCCTGTTTACTGGTCTATTATAGTTGGTATTTACAAACCTGTATCGGTGAATAGGTGTACCTAATAAAATATGAATAAAGAAAGAAATTACTTTTATCTGTGTAGGAATAAAAATGTTAAAATACGTTTTACATTATTTTCAGACGGCAACGAGAAGGCTCGGCCTCTGCTGTACCAACTGCGGCACGAGAACGACGACATTGTGGCGGCGGAACAACGACGGCGAGCCCGTTTGTAACGCCTGCGGGCTTTATTTCAAATTACATGGCGTAAATAGACCCTTAGCGATGCGCAAAGACGGCATACAAACGCGCAAGCGCAAACCGAAAAAGCCGGCGGGCGGAGACAGGGACGACAGTAGCTCCGCCTCGACAGAAGGTACGTAACGCCCACTTTTTCGATTGGTTGAAGCAATTCGGTGCGTTTAATAGACACACGCACTGCTCATCACTTTATGATCTCCTGTTGATGCGTTAGAGGTTTTATTTTTTTTTCTTCGTTTTTGATGAGGAGTATAAATGAATGGGAGTAATTTACTAAGTGGTGACAGCTTGGTTTCGGTCTTGGGGAGAGAATTATTTTCTCATGATACTAGTTAATTTAGTTAATCTTTGTTCAATTAGGTAGGAGAGAATAAATCTAAAGATTTTTATGGTAGGTAATATTTGATGCTAAATTGACAGCATATGGTTTAATTGTCCTAATTACGTACTTAATTTCTTTAATAAATTAGGATAAGATCAAATCAATGCCGTTATTTTTTTTTTAATTAGCTATATCTGTATAATTATTTTTACTTGATTCTTTTATAGAAATGCTTAACTACTTTTTTGTCGTTAAATTTTTATTATTTTAAAAACTCTTCATCTCCAGTTATCTCCTAATTGAAGCTATAAGTAGGGGGGACCGGGGCAATTGTACCATTTTTACTTTAAAGTGTCTTTATCCACTCGACCATTCACTGTTGGGTTCTAATTAACAGTGCTGTTCCTGAAGTGGCGCTGGGAAACAGTAAAAAGCCTACACTGAACACACATGAACAAGAAGATACACACAAAACTGAGACTGGCATATTAGGTATATATACCTAGGCCATAAAACAAAACAAAAATGTCTTTACTCTTTAAGCACTTTTATCTATTTTACAGGGTGGGTCACCGATAACGCCTCGGTCTATAGGGCCAAAATTATTTTATTTTTTACAAATCTAATTTCGCATCGAAATGTATTAAAGAAAAGGCAACAATTAAAAAAATTATAGAGGGTTCTCCAAGAAAGTTATACATATCAAAGTTAGTTTTTTTTTAATTTGACACACTGCATTTTATTTTATATTTGAATTGCCGTCGTTTTTTCCATTATAACAATACCAAATAATATAAAATTACAAAGGGTAGGTATTTCTCATGCTATAACAAGTTTTATATGAAAATTGTATTGATTTCGATGACCTGATACCTACTACAAAAGAAACGATTGAAAACCAATTTTTTTGCAGTAAAAGGTTTTCGATATTAGTCAAAATTTTATGCAGATGCACTACTTTTTCAGTTCAAAACAAATCTGTATAGGGTGAGCCAAAACTAAAAAATCATATTTTTCTCATTTTTTATATCAACATTTTTAAGTAGGTATCTTAATTAAAGTTTCATTTGAGTTAAGCATTCCCTATATCTAAAGTTAATAAATATGGGAGATTTTTAAATTTATGTAATTCACAAAATACTTTAGTTTTACCTGGGTACGGGTTAACAGGAAATAGACCGTTGTTTAATAACTAGAATTTAACCAGCTGTAATTTTTTATCGACAGAATAAGTTTTTGACAATTTCTAATAGGACTTTAACAAAAATAAATATCAATAGTTACCTAACCAATTATAAACTCACTTCATTATAATACTGTTACGCAGCACCCTGCGGTAGCCTGCGGCTATTATAGGAAACGTACAGATAGAAAAAGAAGTGGAATGTTACTCATCGCCCTAGAGTGTGCTGCGGTCGTCATAAGTAAAAGTACAAGTAAAAGAAGATAGAATAGTTCTAGAAATGTCTGGAAATGTCATTACCCGTCAAGAATATTCTAAATGACACTTCGAGAAGGTTTTAGAAGGGCAAGCTATATAAGCATGATCCTGACGTCAGTTTTCAGTTTTATGATAGACGTTAATGTTATCAGTTGTATAATTGTTGTTAAAAGTTGAGTTAAAATAAATTGCGATACCAAACACCAGTGTAACATTGGTGACAGCGGTGAGATACAAAGTAAAAGTTTATGGTAAATACTAGATCCACTGAGTACGAAGCAGGAATGGATACTTCAGGCCCACCAGCATGGTTTTTGAAGATGGAAGAGGAGAAGGAAAGGCGTAAGAAGGAAGAAGAGGAGGAAAAGGAAAGGCATAGAAAGGAAGAAAAGGAAGAGAGAGTAACGCGGGAGGAGGAAAAGGAAAGGCGAGAAGAGGAGAAGGAAAGACGCAGGGTGGATGAAGAAAAAGAGAAGGAAGAAAGGCGTAAAAAAGCTGAGGTACAAATTATGAATGGTTGGCTCCAAATTCAACAAAACCTTAAGCAAGAGGTAGGTCAGCTAAACAACCGAGTAGATTTCTTAACACAACAACAAGATAATTTAAAATCCAATTTAGAACAGCAGCAAGAGAATTTAAAAACCAATTTACAGAATCTAAAAACTAATTTAGAGCAACAACAAGAAAATTTAAAGATTAATTTACAACCAACAGGAAAATTCAAAAGCTAATTTAGAGCAACAGCAAGAGAATTTAAAAGCTAATTTAGAACAACAGGAAGAGGCTAGAACATAGTTAGAAAGGCAAATAAGAGTTAAAATAGCCGAGTTAGAGAGAAGAAGTCGTAGCCAAACTTCCGTAAGCAACATTCAAGCTAAAAACATTATCTCGTATTCATCTGTAACCGACCCAAGCCGAATTCAAACCACAGTCTCACAAAACCAGTGTAGCAAGACCCTAAAACCACCCAAGTTTGACGGTCAGACAACATGGGAAAATATCGACTCCAATTTGAAGCTGCAGCTAGAACCAATGGCTGGGCCGAGAAAGAGATGGCGGCTTCATTGAAAGTGTCACTGCGAGGTCAGGCAGCAACCGTTCTACAGTTACTTCCCCAAGAAGAACCCAGTTATTCATCTCTCGTCCAAGCTTTGGAGACAAGATATGGCCAGCAGCATTTGAAACAGCTAAAAGTTCGTAGTCAGAAACACAATGAGAGTCTACAAGAATTCGAAGCCGATAATAAAAGATTACTGCTTCTGGCCTATCCACAGGCGCCTAAAGATTTCTTAAAGCAAATCGGCATGCAAGCATTCGTTGATGGATTACAGGATGTGGAAATGCAGCAGGCTAGAACACCACAAGACGTTGAGTGATACACTTATTGCAGCCCAGAAATACGAATCGGCAAAAAGTATATCTAGATCTTCTCGCGCAAAATTAAGAGAAATTCGATTTCAAGAAAGTGAAGAGGCCACTACTAATACTATCCCTCAACTTACCCTCTCAGAAATCTTAAATATCCTGCAGAGTATGCAACGAAATAGCCAAAATGAAAGCAGGAGATGCTTCAATTGTGGAAGAATTGGACACCTTCAAAGATCTTGTCAAAGTACTTCGCGTATATACGGAAAAAATATGCAAATATATACCTGAACGACATGGGCGCCGCCATACGAGGGCAAGCGGTGCGTCTGCCCCCCTGGATTTGTAATTTTTTCGCTAAAGATTTCGACTGCGCGTTTTGATCCTAACTATAAGACTTTAGAAATTTTGTGATCGGCGCCTATGCTGAATTGATAAAATTTTAGTTTTTAGACCATTTTAAATCCTCTGAAATACATTTCAGAATACATTTTTAAGTGGGGGATGCTTAAAAATGTGATTTTGGCCTTAAAACTTCCAAATTTATCGATCTTAACATATATCTGAATTAACTGGTGGATTTAATACACATAGAGAAGGAACTTAAATCTCAAAATGTTATCTATATGTTAATGTCACAATGTTAATCTCACAATGTTGATAATACAACGTTGATCTTACAATGTTAATATAAAATGTTAATCATAGAATTTTCGGGGAGGGGGGGGGTTAATCTCACAATTTTAATATTAATATCCCAACGTTAATGTTATTCTCACAATGTTAATATTACAATGTTATATAAAGAACCTTTTCTAGTCCTGTCAAATAATCTAAACAATACATAGTTAGGAGCCACCTATAAATTACGTCACACGTTAACGGGAGGGAGGGGGTTGACGAAGTGTGACATTGTGTAAATTTCGTGACGTCACATTTCAAAATCTAATATATCTAAGTATTAAAACACGAAATTTGACGGGGGACGGGGGGTCAAAAAATCATTAAATTAGTGTGACGTAATTTATGGATGGCCCCTTATTAATTACACAATTCATAATAGATCACAAAGCAACAATATGCCCAGACAGACGTAATGTCACTGGCTATTTTTAAGGAAAGGCAATGCTATTTTAAGGTAGAGCATTGCCCCTATATGTCTCCCTCTGGCTGCGACCCTGAACCAATATTTCATTCTCGAAGAAACTGTTATTTTGACTGCAAAACTTTTGATTAGGAATTCCTTAACAAAATTAAGAGTTCTTTTTATGTTTATATGTAATAACTAATAACTATTGTAGGTTATTTTTTTACCTGTGTTTTTTTATGTAAAAACAAATGCATTCCATTTCTAAATTTTATCGGTTAGAGTGTAAGGGAGGGCTGTGCTGTATTACAGTGGAATATAGTTTGGAAAGGTGTATCCCTTTAGTTTCATATCTTTCATATCTATACCTATGTAAATAAATTAATTAATATATTTGTTATATTTATTACAGAACCAAAAACACCTACAATCGTACATCAACCCAGCCAGCAACATTCGAATCAAAACCAGCCACAATCATCATCTCAGCCGCACCAGAATCACTCTGACAAGTCACCTCCGGTCGAACGGCCTTACTTAGGCCAGACGTCGTTACTACCCGCCACCAGTACAAGTGCAATAAAAAGCGAACCAGGCTACGACTACAACAGTTGTGTTCAAAATCAACCGTCGTACTCTTATCAACAAATCTTCGGGTTTCCAAGCGGTAGCGGAAACAACGAAGTGGCTTATCACCATCAGCATCACGTTACGGCAGCAGCTAAATTGATGGCGTCATCGTAGATCTAGTCAGATTTCACACAGTGTCATTAGAGAGTTAAAGAAAGCAACGATAGAAACGATATAGTACTCAATACCTATTTTTTCTACGTACCAAACAATTAATGTCTGACGTAAACGTACGTGTTCGTCCGTAGGTACGCCTAATACTTATACGTCCGGAGCAATCGATTGTACCCGATTTAGTGAGTTGTATCTACATTTGTTTTGTGATTATAGCTAGAATGCCAAAAGCTCTAGTGCTCCTGTCACTTTAGTATACCGAAACTGACATTTTCATTCAATTTCAAACAAATTCAAATTATAATAATTATAAATCACTTTATTTTCCTTTTCCTGTAGAATTTGTAACATTGTAACATTGCAACATCATCATCTATAATCAAAATTTCCTTTAATCTAAGTATTACATTTCTACATTTACGTCAGAAGAAGTACTATATCTTTTTATCGTAGATTTAACTCTCGATTATCTGTTATTTAATACTCATATATCAGCTCAACACATCATAATGAGGAGAGTTCAGAGGAGGTTATCGAAATCTCCAATATTGATATCCGGTTTGAAGGACCAAAAAATGATTTGTATTGAAATTCTGAGTATTTTATAATACAGTTTAATTTTAATTAGAAATATGAAAAAAAACTTATTTTTCAAAAATATTAATATTTGTTATATCATTATAAAGTGTATAAAATTTAACAAATTTATAAAAAAAGAAGGCTGGTTATTCAACTTCTTAAATGTAGTCATCTTTTAACATAAACAAAAAAGCGTCGAAAATGCTTCTATTTATATGTATCCTTACCCTTGGCATATCGAACTTTCTGGATTGCTTCAGCTTTTCTATGTTATTTATTTAAAAGTATTTTGTCGTTTGTACGTGCGAGTGGGGGTGCTGGGCTGACATGGATACTTTACAATTTTATTATTCTTAGAACTTTTGATTGATTTAGGGACATGCCGGCTCGCTGTTCATTAGTGTACTATTTGAATTATTAATTGGATTATTATTAAATTAAATTATTTGGATATTTCAATATTTAATTATCAATTAATTGATCAGTTTAGCACTCAGGGCAGGGCTAGCCTGATATAATATAAAAATATGTTGGATGTATTTCCAACACCAACAATAAATTAATTTAAGACAACAAACAGAAACTAAATAGATAACAATTTTGGCCAAAATTAAGGAGACAGGTCTTCACTATAGGTATCTGAAGATAAAATTGAATCTTTATGAAAAAATATGTGTTGAGTTGATATACGTAGTTGAAGATAATGCTTTATAGACTGCTTTAAAGAATAGTTTTTTGTTTAAAATAATTTTTATAATTTTAATTGTCATTTACAACGGGTAATGTGATTTGATCAACTTTTATCTTGTGATAATAAAACACTTTAAACAGAAAATTATGTTACATTCATTAGATATCTAATTAATTGTAGTACCTACATACCTATACAGTTAAAATTACTATTACAATGTATTCACTAATGTAGTTTTCATGATTTTTATAAGTGATTACATGATTTGTAACATGTTCTAGAAATGAAATAGATTTTTAAAGTCAGAATGTGAGGAGTTGACACTTTTGAAACTATTTTTAAATTATTAAATCGTTCAGTAAATTTGTTATATTTTGACTTTATTTATTTTTATTATCCTATCTATTGATTTTACTGGGAAAAAAGTTGAATATTTTGAATAATGAAATTATAAAAAAAATGTTTTTCAAAAATGCAAAAATTTTAATCTTTTTTAAAATTTTTTACAAGATTTTTTTTTCTTCATAAAGTCATACGTAGTCTACCTTTATTTATATTTTCTTTTTGTAACAACCATTTTTTTATTTTTATAAGTTTAATGATCAACTGTAGTCTGAATAAAAAAGGAGTGCAGTAAAATTGGGGATATAACCTCACTTTTCATAGGTCTATTTGGTAAAATAGGTTTCTATAATATTATAAATAAGACATACATGGTATATACGCAATTCGTGGATTAAATTTTGAATGATAAAAGTTATATTATTTACAAAAAATAAAATAAACCTTATGCTTCTGATAGAATTGTTGTAACATAAATAACAAGGAGTTATATATGTTGTTATTGGGATTAAACTTTTTTTAATCTGTTGACACTAAAATTAACGTTTTAGTACGTAAAATCAAAGATTAAAAATCTTTAAAAGTCACTGTCTTCTCTATAACTACTGGTATCATTATCATTGCCTTTTCTGATGTTTTTTTATTATTACAGGGACTATTAAGTTTTCAATTGCTATATCCACTTCCCAAAATGAATTTTCCACCTTTTTAACATATTCAATGCATTTTCTTCAATGTACTCCATATACATCTGAAACTGCCATAACATATCGAACCAGCCACTAAGTGTGTTACTATAGACTGTTCCAGTCGGACCACCTTTTGTCCAACCTTCGTATAGATTGTCTGCCTTGTACATTACCATAGGGAGTAATAAATCTCCTGCAGCGTTTCCACACACACCAGTATACTGATCGAGGCCTTGGAATGCTGTTAAACTCTCTCCACGCGTTTGGTTCCCCTTGGAACAATGACATTTTTGACTCCAGGGTCATCTTGAACATTAGTGTCATCGTAATTGAAAACCACAGAAGGGTCAATATCTTGCAAAACATCTTTAATGTTATCAAAAAGTTCGCCAATTTGATTCGGCCCTACCGCCGCACGTGTTCGCTTTATGTTTGCAGCCAAACGGACACTCAGATTATTCTGGATTATGAAGTTTTTAAGAAAATCTTGTCCGAAACGTTGTCTTTAAACTGCTTAACGTTACACCCTTTCCTTTCTAAGTATTTGTGGATTAATTCGCGAATATCAGCTTTGTTAAAAGGAAATCCCTCTTCCGCAGGTGCAGGCCCGACTGGAGGGGGGGGGGTAGCCGGGACTAATTCCCGGGGCCCGGGCTCAAATGGGGGCCCGGCAGCGCTATAAGGGGGGCCCGACAATAGGGTTTTCTGTTTCTGCATGAGAAATTTGACATAAGAAGAGAAAGGGGAGGTGATGTGATTGAAAGTTGAAAAGTTTTAACTTATTAGGTTACAGGGTCACAGGTGTTTTTGGGTTTTTGGTTTGGCTGAGGTAATTGAAGTAGGGAGAATTATTTTTTTCGAGATGAGGACTTTTTTTTTTTTTTTTTTTTTTTTTTTTAAGGAGAAGCAATTGATGTAAGGAGAAAGTTAATTTTCGAGGTGAGGACCTTTTTTTTTTTTAAACGAAGTTTTTGGTTAATATTTTTTGTGACAGGGCCCGATGTAGACAATTGTCCCGGGGACCGGTCTGGCTCTCGGCGGCCCTGCGCAGGTGTAAATACCGTCGGATGACCTAGAGAACGCGTATGCTCGCCCTTCAACTTATTTTGAAAGGTCCCCCGAGAAATTTTGAACCTTTTACTACCCGCTGCCGGACCTATGCCATTTCTAATGGAAGCCATCGGTTTTTTAAGGTCAGCTTCGGTAAAGTTTCTGCATGCACACCCCTCCCACTTTTTTCTGATAGTTTTTAGACATGGTTGGTCACTGTATACCTGTAAAAAAAACAAAAAAAAACCGCAAAAAAATATTAAAAAAGACATTTTTTTTTTACATATAATGACCAAACTGACAAATTTTTGAAGTGCCAAAGTAACTCCGTTTTACGGTACTTTAAATGTATTGTTTTGAGAAACATAACCTTTTAATTGTGACCAGCTTAGTTGGGAGTTAACTCTATAAGTGATAAGGAGAATTTCAATTCCTTTTCCATATCGTCTGTAATACATTTTTTAAATGTTTTTATGTTACCTTGCTATTACTAATAATTATGGAGGAATGATGCCATTTTGAAATATCTTCTTTTTTTCCATCTTGTTGTAGGTATTGACTCCTTTAATCGACTGATAGGATGCATTAACCAAAACAGAGTTGGTTGGATTTTTTTTTAGTTTGTTCTAAAACCAATTTTCAAACATCCATTTCTTCATTTGTCTTTTTTTCTTCTTTGACTTGAACATTAATAAATCATCTGGCAAAAAACCATCGGTTCTTCCTACGTGGTTAATTATTAAACGAGTTGCTTTTCCTGTTGGATTTTTTAATCCTCGAGAGACCCCTTGCCAAATTTTTGTTACTGTATGTCCAGAATTAACTCATGTTTCATCTAAATAAAATACCTGTTTATGCTGATTCCTTGCGTCCGCTATTTTCCTTAAATAATCATGTCTCCACGCAATGATTTCGTTTTTCTCTGTTAGAAAGCTGTTTTTGTCACGTTTTTTGTAATTCATATGATATATTTGGAAGAGGGGGGATATTTTTTACTTCTAAGTGTAGGAATTTCTTTTCAAAAGAAAAAAGAATGTATCATTTGTCTTATTACAGTCTTTACACAAGTTTTAATATCTTGTTTATTCTTGGGGCTTCTTCGGATGTGAGACTTCTCCAATAAATGTACCTTCTTTAATAATGTTATACACTGTCTGCTTAGATTTTTCAGTATAGGTCTGACATTTATCTGTCAAAAGAAAATATTTATAACAGAAAAAACTTTCAACCTAAACTTTTATTAGGCCGATCAAATGTATTAAAATTTTCATTTTAATTACAAATAAGCATTGAAGGATGAGGTATAAATAAAATAAACCTGTACTACGTTCTACAAATTAAATTACTGCCCTCCTTCTTTTCTAGACTATAGTTATGATTATAAAAACACTTGCCCGTTGAATATGATGAACAAATTCTTTAATGTTCCTGCGCTTTATTTTAAAATAAAATGCTTGTGTTAGTCGTAATGTACTACAAATCAATAAACTTTGAATCCTAATTTGTAGAAAAGAAAATCCTAGGAAAATATGTCAGAAGTAAAAAGATAATAAAAAACAAGCTTTCTTTAAGAAATACAATTATATGACATATGATTGCTATTTTATTATTTTTGTTATAAAATGTTATATTATTTAAATTTTGTTTTTACCTATTATTGATCCTATATCTATTATTCATCAGTTATTCACTCCTTTTGTAGTTCATCATCAAAACTATATAGAAAACACTTAAAACACAGTTATGCTTTACATCCAATACTGTTAACAATCTCATGATGATGATGATGATAATGAAGTTGTCATTGCTAATGAAATATACATTCGATAATTAGGTATCGTAGTTTTAGTGCAATATTGTAACTGTGTTCAACTAATTTGAAGCAATCAAATGATCCTGACCAGAGGCGGCTCGTGGAGGAGGCTACGGAGGCTACCTTAGAAAGGCACACCCTATAAATTTAATACAAATATATATTTCTATTGGAATAAAAAAAAGCAGAAATATCACATTGTATTCTAATATAAATATATATTTGTATTAGGTATGTAGAGTGTTCCAGCCTTCTTGTAGACTAGGCCACGAGGCGCCACTGATCCTGACTCCCAAATTGTGACAAGAGGCTTGTTTTTTAATAAAAATGTAACTTCACAATTTGTATGATAAAACTTTATCGATTATTAGTTATAGTTTTGAGAACAAAATATTTGTAAATATTAACAATTATATAACAAATTGTAACAAAATCAAGATATTACTGTTTTTATAGACTTGGTTTTGTGTAACAGACTGTAAGTTAAAATAATTAGCGTAGTTAGTTTTGAGACTGTGAAAACATAGACTTAATGTGGAGTTGTTAAAAATCGAGTATGTCTTCATTAGATCTATAGTGTAACTAGTTATAATGATAGTTACTACCTATTACGATTTATTTTCGAGTAATTATAATTTTAAAATATTCTGTTGTCATATGACCAGAGATAACAGGAGATGTAACTACTAACAAAATTTTGAATTATTAGTTATCAAATTTAACTAAACTAGATGTAATCATTTTCAAAAATTCCAAAACCTAGTCATGTTAGGTTGGAAGTAGCAACAGGGCTTACACCGGCATGGATATTTACGTTGTTTATTATAAGCGCACAGCGGCTTACACATTTATTCATTAATAAAAAAAGTTGTATCTGCGTAAAATTCTTCTCTTTATCTTCTCTTTTACTTCTCACCTTTCGTCTCCTCGCCACGTCCCAAGGAATAGATTGTATTGATTGTCGAATTAATCTTGGCATTGTTAATATTATATTTTATCAATTAATGGCTATATTTTTGTTATCTCTGCATATGACCTATTGGTAGATTATTATAGCATGTTTACAAGTAAAAAAAAATATGGAGACATACTTAGATACTATTTGTCGTATATTTTATGTATGTACACTGCTTAAATTTAATAAATTATTCGTACTATAAAGATTTATAACTGGATAGAGATGAAACTTGTGTATATTACGTCTTTTTTATTGTTGCGGTGCAACATTTCACTTGTAAATATATGATTTAATGTGTACATATTTTAATGCCGTTGTCATTGTGCTCTATTAGTTGTAAAATTAATATATAAATAAAATTTTAAATTTATATATTTTGCATCTTTTTTTAACGTTGCAACGTCTACCAAAAGTTCCTAACACATTAATAATAAATACCGCTTTGGATAAAACAAGCAAAACCCAACGTTGGTCAAAAAAGGTCTTTCTTATAGTTAATTTAGTGAATACAAATTAATATGTTCAAATAACTGGAAAGATATTAGTTGGTTAAAAATTCAGACAAATTATAAAATGCTTCCTATATATGTACGGAAATTTTAATATGGTCCATCCAATCCAAATATATTAGAGATGAGCGTAAGAAGTGAGATAGAAGCAAGACTCTATAGGATTATAAACTGCTCTTGCTTTTATTTCGTGTAAAGTAAGAAAAGCAATAATGAATGTCATGTAATAAACGCTTTTTTTTAAATATCAACCATTTAAGGTACCCATTTCGAAATAAATGGGACAACAATGCATAGGTATATTTCCTTTCAACGACCACGTTACAATACAAGCAATTGTAGGCGGTGATGGCACAATATTTTTCAGAACATTTCATAAGCAAACAGAAATAGACTGGTAAATTTAAACAATGGTAAAATAAACATGACTAATCTTTACTAGGTAATTTTTTTTTACAGATTTTTTAAAGATAGTTTGACAATACGTCCGAAAGTCTGAGCGACAAAGTTGGAGAGAAGAAAATATGGTAGAAGCACTTAACGCAGTTAAAAATGGGATGGCTTTTGCATCAAAAACATTTAATGTACCTCATACAACGTTAAGAAGACGTGCTAAAAATGATCGTGGATACGGTTAGGGTTACTTAGGAGGAAATGATCCAACTTTTGATGTCCAGTTGGAAAATTAACTGGTGCGCCATGTAAAAGAATTAGAAGTGCGTTTTTTTGGACTAACATTGTTAGATATTCGAAGGCTTGCTTATGAAATTGCCGATGTAAAGAAAATTCCAAATAGATTTTCAAAAGAAAAGAAAATGGCAGGATGGGATTGGCTGAAGAGATTCCGCAAACGAAATCCTTCTATTTCATCGTACACCAGAGGCAACATCATCTGCAAGAGCTCGTGGGTTTAATGAAGTTCAGATTGGGAAGTATTTTAATAATCTTAAAAAGGTACTAAATGAACACAAATTCTCCCCAGAAAATATATTCAACATGGATGAGCCTGTGCTCTCAACTGTTCCATCAAGAAATTCTAAAATTTTGGCGACTAAAGGTAGAAAGCAAGTTGGTGTTTTAACCAGAGCGGAGAGAGGCCAACACCTTAAAGTTGTATGCTGCTTTAACGCCATTGGAACTTACGTACCACCTGTTTTATTGTTCCCAAGAAAAAATATGAAGTATAAGCTAATGGATCACCCTCCAGTAGGAGCTAAGAAAGTGGGTGGATGACAGAAGAAACTTTTTAAAATATCTAAAACATTTTGTAAAGTATGTCAAGCCATCTGTTACAAACTTAGATAAAAGAAACAAGTTACAAATAAAGTTCTCCTTCTTTTACATATGCAAAAGACAACGGCATTGTCATATTTTGTTTTCCTCCTCATTGCACCCACAGGGTGCAACCTTTAGACATTTGTTTTTTCGGTTCAGTGAAGACTTATTACAATCAAGAGCGATTTCGTTGGCTTAAGTCCAATCCTGGAAGAACGGTGACACATTTTAAAGTCGGTGGTATACTGAGAAAGGCTTACAATAAAGCTGCAACAACAGAAGATGTTATAAACGCATTTTCTAAGACTGGCATATATCCACTAAATAAATACATCTTTCCAGATTGGATGTTTCAACCTGCAGAAGTTACTAATCAACAAGAAAATTTAACAGCTAGAGAAATCAATGAATTTGATGACCTGCAGTCGTCAGTTTCTAGTTGTTTAAATGCTAAGTCAGATGATTCTCAGCCTTTGTTCACAAAGTCCAAAAATATCCATACAGGATATTTCTCCTGTGGCGACAAAAAAACGCAAACCGATAAAGGGACGGAAGTATAGTGAACTGAACAACACACCTGAAATTGAAATTGCTAAAGCAGCTATTGCAGAAAAAGAAGCTGGTACCTTGCGAAAATCTGCTAGGGCAACAAAAATTAAATTAGTAGTTATTGAAGAAAGTGAAGAAGAAGCAGTTCACTTGCGATGTCTGCAATTA